TTTGATTAATATAAAGCTATACGTGTGTACAGATGTAGGCAGTATGAGTTAGAGCGTGGCACATTTGGAAGAGCTGCGTCTCTGTGTTCAGTTGTAGTGCATTCGTGGTGTGATAGTACAGGTTGAAGTTCGAGATTTGATTGTTATAACAGTGAAACTGGGTAAACCAGTTCAGATCTGACAGCGATATGTGCGAGCGCAGCGGAGTGCTGCCAACAAGACAGTCTAACCGGGCAGCCTACTTTTTCTGAGTCTTGATGCTCTGCTTGTTTATATTAAGCCAGTTGAGATGCTTCTCTCTCATATTGTTCCCTGGGCTAGCTAGAGAATTTACATACGTTAGCAGCTAGTGGTTTGATTACATGGTCCATTATTTGAGTTGAATGTATTTATTGCTTCTGATATGCCTTCAGGTGGTCCGCAGTGTTCTGTAATGTTCAGCTACAGTCTGGCTTCAATCATTCGCACGTTGTTCGTATGAATTTAAGTGCGGATGACGTGACGACCCATGACGAAGAAGAAGGAGTAGTTGTTGTATGTACTATATAGTAGATGTTAGCTAGGAGGATGGAGGAGGAAGGTTTGGATTAGATTTAGGAGAGGTAGGAGAGAGAACACGAAACCAGTATGAAACAACAATGTGCTTAAAACAAGCCACTGTGCATGTCGAATATTAGTTTCCAAGAATTCCTATTTTTTAAACCTGATTGTAACCCAGTAATGGCCACTGTGAATAGTATAAATAGTTGGGCCTGTACCATGTAGATAACTCAAATTGTTTGTGTTATTATATTTTTTTAACATGAATGCGACAGATAACATAAAATATAAGATAAATGTTAAATGTAATATATATTATATATTATTATATATATATATTATTAATTATTAATTATTATTATAGTTAAGCTATATATAGGTATATAACTCTATAATATATATATAATTAATGCGCACATACAAAATAAACAATGAGGTTGATGACATTATTAGGCATGATAGTTATATCCCATATCATTAAGCTATAGCATATAGTATAATTTACAGAAGGCTAATAAGTTTGCTTATCATTAGATAATATCATCAGTAATGTGTAATTATCAAAATATTTTTTATTGCAGGAAATGACATCCAACGACGAGAAGATACTTGCTTTATCTAACCATCTTCTTCCACAAGTCTGTGCAACCATTATCTTTCTTGACACAGCACCTCTCAACAACCCTCTAAATGGCTGACCTCCTCCAAACCACGGACATCCTGAAAGTAAGCGCTCAGCCTCCCCCCAAAATTAGCCATATTGTATCAATCAGTGAACATCGACCTCTCCTTGCGCTCTTCTGGTTGTCTACTTGATGAAGTAAGTTTTGAATGGTGACATATGGCAGCAGCTCCAGTGATGCTAAGTAAAAAACTTCGAAGTCATCAAACAGAAAGTGAAGAGTAAAAAGATTCAAAAATGCAATACTGCCCACTGAGGCATGGTTGAACTCGCCGAAAAGCACCAGCAATAATTAAAAGTTGATTGATTTGTACTTGTACTAAAGTTAAAATATAAGTCTTGACGAAAAAGAGAAATAAATACATGATAAGAATTGACATTATTCGAATAGCAATATCATATCAAGTTATGTTTGTAGCAAATGTATAGTGTCCTTTTTCTAGTGCTTCGCTCTAGCATTAATTGTATCAATTCTGTCTGCAAGTACTGTAGATGTATCTATATTAGGAATGCAATTTTATTTGGAATAGAGCGTATTTGTGTTTTCGTTTAATATGTTATTGAAAGGCCATGTTCACACTCGTACACTGACACGAAAATAATAACGACAGGCAGCAAGCACGTTTCAAGTTCGGGCGCGTTATTCTTATTGACATATTGTCTGGGCCGCGATATTGTTGATTATTAACTTGCGCATTAAATGCATTTATGCTACTGTGTTGAGTTTGCCTCGGTGCGTTTTGATTGTGTCAAGTGGTTTGTGTCGTGTCCGTGTGACATGGCCTTTAAGAATTTTATTATGGGATACCAATAATCGAAATTAGACATCAATTGTATTGTAGATATCATTAATATAACTTGGAGTTAAGAATTAAGAGATTTGTGGAATTGTGATCCTGTTATTGATAGTGATGTGGATGATCGTATGGAAATAAGTATTGGTTTGTTTTATAAAATATTTGTCCTTTATACGTTTATTGATTTTATGGATCTGAATTATTTCTGTATTTGTAAGATTACCCAAACAGTTTCCCATGTAATACGAAAATAATCTCTGATGGATTAATTTAATATCTCATTGAGAAGTATTGTTAATGTATACAATTAAAGTTATTTACTAGAATTCAATTTTATGGTGGTTTGTAGCAGGAACTTGATTGGTGTGTGTTTTGTGTGTGTGTGCGTGTGCGTGTGCGGTGTGCGTGTGCGATGTCGTGTGTGTGTCCCAAAGTGTGTGGTGTGCTTGTGTGGTGTGTGTGTGTGGTGGCGCGTGCGCGGTCGCGTCGCGTACGTGTGTGCTATGCCTGGTGTGGTGTATGTGAGTGTACGGTTGTGTCGCTCGTTTGTGGACTGTGATTGGATGTATTTTCGTGGGTAGAAAAGGACCCCCACCGAAAATTGGACCCCAAAGGAAAAACTCTCCAATCACGACCACCTCCCTTTGGAACAACTGGCTACGTGGGCTAACAACAATCATAGCTGGGCGGAAATAAGGAAATGTGAGGACGGTCTGTTGCGTCTCGCCTCCGCCAGGTCTCCGGGTCTAGCATATGAGAGGTAGTGTCCCCGTTAGATGGAGCCTCCGGTCAGCGTCAGATATGATAACACGAAACACAGAATTTATAAAATCTACCTGTGCTGATGTCTATTAGCACAACAGAATATACGTACAGGTGACTACACTCTCACAGTCCTAAACAACAGCACTGTCACGATACTAATAACAGATATGTCTACACTGTTTCGTAACCGTTCGCATCGCCGTGACACGTAAAATGAAGTCACAAAGTACGAATTACCGTAAAACTTAGGTTTTCGCGAAGAAGCTCGGCAAAGGGTGATGCGCGGTAATGGTGTGAAAGCATTAGGCGTAAGTGGAGGAAGGGATAGGTGTAGGAAGCGCGGAGACTCGAGAAGCTGGACTGCACGGTTTGAGGATCAGTGGCACCGAGTACGGCTTAGCTTCGCGAATAAGTGAATCACCAATGCGGAGGACCTAATAACTATTTACGTGTTTAGGTGTTATTATTGCTTCTACCGTGAGCGAATCGAAAGTTTGGAATGCATGCCGGGGGGGGACTGCGCTGCTCTCAAAGTACCTATAGCTGAGTTGTCACTGCCGTGGTTTTAAACTCCAGTCCTTCAAAGTAAGCGCACATCCAACTTCAAAATCATTAATGTTTCGCTTACAAATTGCGTCATAGATATTTTGAAATTTCCATCACTCATATAAATTGAAAGAGTGATTTGAATCTTAATCATATTCCTTTTATATCAATGCCTGACTGTTTTTGAACAAAACAAACTTCATAAAATTTGCAAATAGCCTTCCGAATTTGCCTTAAACATCACAGCGGATAATAGTAGAAGTAAATTACTATTAGTATTAGTACTAAATTACTTGTAGCCTAGGCTACCAGTACCGGGAACAACAAAGAATAACAAATGAGCCTGTAATGAAAGATTTAGAATGTAATCAAGTAGGAAAATCAAGTCTTAATATACATCAATAGTAGTAATCCCTTTATCATTTCCATTATCACGGTATTGTTTCAATTGATATGCAACATTATCATCCAAATCAATATTCATCCATATGTTACGGTTCATCCGGGTACTATTCGGCGAGTCCTTTCCCTATCAGTAATGGCGACCATGCTATGCCGAATTACAGCGCTTATGTTGTCGACGGAATTGCGTGTCCGCGACCTCTAGTATACTTAATAACAACTCTATGAATGAGCACCCTTCATCTCTACATTCATCTTTGGCGTGTTGTGTTTCACTGTTTGAATACTTTACACTAAAAACGTTTAATTTGTGTGGATGATTTCTCCTAGTTACATCATGAACGTCGGAAGTTTAAAAATTATAATAAGGACATTGCTGTTTTGTCTTTTTGCATTATGTAAATTTACTTTGTGATGGTGAACGTTTAGTCATTAATCGTAAAAAAACGGGGCGAGATATCTGCAGGAGAGCGATCGCTGCATAAATGTTACGAGTGCACACGAATACACGCCCTTGAGGTTATCAGAAAAATCTAAGAGGGAACACTGATTACACAATTTTGTTGGATTTTAGGCCCTCGGTAATCATAACAATCACGAGGCACATTGGAGCGCCCGTTTCAATAAAATAACAATGGCTAAATAGAATACGAAATCTATTTTCCTGCAAAAAGTCTTGATGTTCGTCTCTACTCCTCTTCTCGGCCTATTATTTACGCCGGCAATTTCCTGTAAAGGCGTGCAAATCGCTCTCTGCAACACACATTAGACCGTGCGCAACTCTAATTGCGCACACACACCATATATTAATGAGAGCACTGCCGCACACTGACACATATATAGAGAACGCTATATATGTGTGTCAGTGTGCAGCAGCCGTGCCCGCATACGTGTACACGTTTGGTGTTGCAGAGGAGCATTTGGCACGCAATTTACAGGAAAGTTAGGACAATAATTTACCAACCTAAGGCGAAAGAGAGTAGAGAAAACCTTAAGACTTTGGTAAGCAAATAAGATTTCATATTTATTTACCGTTATATTTTATTGAAACGCTCCAAGTGCCTTGCGATAACAATACATGGTCTTCCGAAAAAATTTCAGTGTGTGCAGGAACTTCTGTTTTTGTCATGTCAGTGACACAGTGTCAAGATGTTATTACCACTAAGCGACTACCAGGCCAGGCAGATAGGCCACTAACAGTAGCAGGTACACTAACTGTCTCTTTAATTATCATTCATATCACAAGTTTTTGGACACTATGTAAATATCAATAGAATCTGTGTGTTGGCATTAGAGGTTACTAAGTTGTATGATGTATCCTATACAATAACAGAAACAATCCTGAACCGCTGTGTTTTTCGTAAAATTGACTGCAAACCTGATAACATCGTCGGATTTCCCACTGATATTCAGGGGTCAAAAATTAGCGGTATCCCATAAATTCTTGTGTTGGATACTCAGATTTCAATGCTTGGTATCCGCCGGGATAGTAAAAAAAAATTGTTCCAAAATTGGGATAGTTGGTTCGTTGAGTGTATCAATCTTATAACGGGTCAGCGCATCTGAGCGAGTGCGCAATAGTAGAGCGAGTCGCGCGGCGAGTTCTGAGCGGGCTCATGCAGCCCTTAACTATGGCCACACTAGGCGTTTATACAGCAGGCAATAGCAATATTTGCAAGCGCAAGCGTAAGCGTGGGCTGATGTTTGATCATAAATGTGATAGTGTATACGTTGATGATTGTAATGCAAGCGAACCAGACATACGTCTGCAAGTGTAATGTGGAGGCGTATGTAAAATAAACGCGCGAGCGATGAGAATTTTGAAGGCAAACAAATTGTGGAAATTAACTAATCTAAAAAATGGGATACCAGATCTTTTGGTGGATTACGCAGATTTCAATACCTTGGGTTTATCGCCAAATGGATACCATAATAATAATAAATCTAATTTCGATCCCCTGATATAGCCCACAAATTCAGGCTTCATCTCTTGATTCTAAGTTTTTCAAGTCTAACTTTTTGTTTGGCAAAAAGATCATTTATTTTGATTAGGTTCATTGTGTACCGCAGATGAAACTGCCGTATTTCAGACTCAATACAGGGAACTAATAATAAAGACCTGAGCCTCACCATAGATATAAGGGATAATGATATCTATTGATGTTCATATTGATTTAATAGTAGTGTGTATCAATTCTTACTGATTTAACTCATTCAGCAGTATGATTTGTTTAAAGGTGTATTCTCTTATCAATATTCCAAAATTAAATTTTTCCTTGTTCATATACGTCCCGCAATTTTCTAGTGAAACATCTTTAATTGCTAAATACATATCATACATTATTAAGCACCATTTTAGGTACCTAATAACATTTCTATCTGTTTCAATCAATACTAATGGCTATTTCTATTCAACATTTCAGGAGATTCAGTGGTGTTTAAAAGTGCTTAGTTTAGGAGAGGAAGAAACGTGGGAGAGTCAGTTCCAGTCATTTTGTGGTTGTTGCTGAGTGTTATGAATAAATTGAATTCAATAGCGACTGATGCTAATGTCTAAGTAACCTTAGCAGGTAAGATCAGTAAAATTAAATGTAATGTATCTTCATATTTTACCTCAGCTTGAAAATAGTGAGGGGTTCGTATTCTCCCACTTTCAACCATTGGCTCCATATTACATTTAGTTAATTAATATAATGTTATGGACCGTTGGGAATACATTTATTAAATATTAAATTAGCAGACCTGCACCAACTCTCTTTTAACAAGATTTTTTCGTATTGCTTTTAACAGAATTCCATGATGTTTCTAACGAATGCTAACGAAATCAAACTGAAAAACTTACGATTTTTTTACGACTTCCGTGTGAAAATTAATGTAATTTACCATTGAGTGAGCGCGCAGAAATATGGTAATTGCTATCCCACCGGGCCCTGTGAGGGAGTTGTACGCGCAATGTGGCATGCACTAGTGTTGGGATAGTGTTAGATTTACGGGTTACGGGTTCAGGGTTTATGGTTACGGGTTTTTGCATCATGAATTGTCGCCGGGACACCATAGATTAATTTTGTGGAGATCACAATGCCTATTATGATATTATTGCGCCGGCGAACATTATATATTTAGTGTGAGATGTTAGTGTTGGCGGTGTTGGAGGTGAGGGTTAACGCAGTTAGGTGTTAACGTTTTGAAACGTCTATCGCAAAACGTTTATCACGTGACCTTTTCCCTCCACGCCCGGGATAGGCATACAACCTCGAGAAATATCTTTGGCGATTGTGGAGGTCGTGCAGACCATTTTAGGATCATACTCACCGTTCATCAGTTGTTTCATCGCGTGATCTAGAGTTAGTCCATCATTCAATTGCGCGCAATAAATACAATGACAAAATGGCCGCCTGCTGGGCAATAAAAGAAAACCGTTGCTTATTTTCATTGAATCACAGGTTGGCAGGTCTGTATATATATAGCAATGAATACCTAGCAAACTCCAGAAGCCACTCAATGAATTTGCCTATAAAGGACCAAATTTGCAAAGAATACACTTTGAGGTATCAAAAGGAAAGGGCCCTTTTCTTTGATACACAAAGTGTATTCTTATCAAATTTGTCGCTTTATGGCATAATTCAAATGGTGTAGCTCTGGAGTTGTGGTATTATGCTAATTACAGACCATGCACCTGTGATTCAGACGAACAATAGTAAAGGAGCTTTGTTCTTTATATGTGCAGCAAGGCGGCCATTTTGTTTGTATGTTATGCGGCAGACTAATGAATGATGGGACTAATCGCTGAGTACTTAGAGAGTAAAAAATCTGGTTCAGCCTCATACGGTCTAATTTTAATAGAAAAGTGCCTGACGTGATAGGACATAAGCTATTCCTCTACATTAATTCGTGAGGCCGGATTCCAGTCTACCCTTCGGCAAAAACAATAGCCGTAAACGTGGCTTGCTGCCAACCGCTGCCAGTAGACGATCGATAAATCGTGTGCCTGTGTATGCACGTGGTAGAACACGAATATTTAAATGCTGCACGCCCGGACTCGTCCCCCTTCTTTTACACCTCTTGACCTTTGACCTTTGACCCCCAGCTTCGACATCCCAACTCGTTTTGACGATCCCCCCCAACGACCCGAATATCGTGACCGTACGTCGAGCGGTTAAGATTTGTGCCCAACTGTTGACGGACGGACGACCGGACGGACGGACGACCGGACGGACGGACGACCGGACGGACGGACGACCGGACGGACGGACGACCGGACGGACGGACGACCGGACGGACGGACGGACGATCATGCGATTCTACAAGCTGCATCTGACTATGTCAGATGAGCTAAAAATGTAGAGGAAGCTTTGTCCTATACTTAAGCACTTTTCTATTAAATTAGGAGGGCAACCAGATTTTTACTCTAGTACCCCCTTTCCTTTGATACCACAAAGTGTATTCTTTGCAAATTTGGTCCTTTATGGCAAATTCATGGTGAGCTATGGAGTTGTGGTATTATTGCTAATTAATATAATAAATGTATATAATATAATTAATAAATGTAATATGCGCAATGTTGAAAGTGGAGAAACGAACCTCACTATTTCAAGTGAAGTAAATATGAAGAACATTACATTTATTACTGATCTTACCTGCCTAAGTTTAGACATAGCATCAGTCGCTATGAATTCATTTTTCATAAACCTCAGCACAAAACACATGACCTGGAACTGACTCTCCCCACGTTCTTCCTCTCCTAAAACAAGCACTTTAAACACCTGAATCTCCTGAAATGAATAGAAAAGCCATTAGTATTGATGTTAAGCATTAGTGTATTTGAAAGTAGAAATGTTATTGGTACCAATGGTGCTTAATAATGGATGATTATTTAGCAATTAAAGATGTTCATAGAAATGGGGACCGTTATGAACAAGGAAAATAATTTTGATATTGTTGAGAATAACTTTAAACAAAATCATACTGTGAATGAAATCAGTAGATTAGACTACACACTACTATTAATAATATGAACATCAATAGATATTATATCCTTATATCTATTGGCTCAGGTCTTTATATTAGTCTGTATGAGTCTAAATACAGGCAGTTTTATCTGGGTACACAATGAACCTAATCAAATAATGATCTTTTGCAACCAAAAAGTTAGACTTGAAAAACTTAGAATCAAGAGATGAAGCCTGAATGTTGTGGGCTATATCCAGGGGTCGAAATTAGATTTTTATTATGGTATCTATTCGGGATACCAGGTATTGAAATATGGTATCCACCCAAAAGATCTGGTATCCCATTTTTTTGATAGTAATTTCAACAATTGTTTGCCTTCAAAATTTTCATCGCTCGCGTTTATTTTACATACGCCTCCACAGTACACTGCAGACGTATTGTCTGGTTCGCTTGATACAATCATACAACGTATACACATCACATTTATGATCAACATCAGCCACGCTTACGCTTGCGCTTGCAAATATGCTATGCCTGCTGTATAACGCTAGTGTGGCATAGTAAGGGTGCCTGAGCCCGCTCAGATCGCGCGCACTCGCTCTACTATGCGCACTCGCTCAGATGCGCTGCCGTATAAAGTTGATAACTCAACAACCACTATCCCAATTTTGACAATTTTTTTTACTATCCCGGCGGGATACCAAGCATTGAAATCTGGTATCCAACACAAGAATCTTATCGGGATACCGCTAATTTCGACCCCTGAATATCAGGTGGAAAAATCACTGATGTTATCAGGTTTGCCAGTCACTTTTACGAAAACACAGGGTTTCAGGATTGTTTCTCTTATTGTATAGGATACATCATACAACTATGTAACCCTCTAATGGCAACACACAGCATTATAGTATACTAGTGTTCACAACTTGTGATATTGAATGATATTAAAGAGACAGAGTGTACTGCTACTGTAGTGCCTGGTAGTGCTAGTGGTAATAACACCTTGACACTGTGTCACTGACAATGACAAAAACAAGTCTGCACACACTGAAATTTTTCGAAGACAATGATTGTTATCGCAAGCACTTGGAGCGTTTCAATAAAATATAACGGTAAATAAATATGAAATCTATTTGCTACCAAAGTCTTAAGGTTTCTCTACTATCTTTCGCCTATTATTGCCAACAATTTCCTGTAAATGCCGTGCAAATGCTCCTCTGCAACACACATGTACACCGTGCGCACGCTGCTGCACACTGACACACATATAGTGTCTCTATGTGTGTCAGTGTGCGGCAGTGCTCTATATATATGTGTGAGTGTGCGCAAGAGTGCGCACGGTCTACATGTGTGTTGCAGAGGAGCATTTGCACGCCATTTAGAGGAAATTGCCAGCAATAATAGGCGAAAGAGAGTAGAGAACAAACATCAAGACTTTGGTAGGAAATAGATTTCGTATTTATTTAGCATTATTTTATTGAAACGGCGCTCCAAGTGCCTGTGATTGTTATGATTACCGATGCAAAATCCACAAATTGTGTAATCAGTGTTCCCTCAGTTTTCTGATACTCAAGGGTTATCGTGTCACTCGTAACATTTGCAGCGATCGTCTCCTGCAGGATATCTCCGCCCCGATTTTTTACATTAATGACTAAACCGTTCACATCACAAGCTAAATTACATAATGCAAAAAGAAAAACAGCAATGTCCTTTATAATTTTTAAACTTCCGACGTTCATGATGTAACTAGGAGAAATATCTACACAAATTAAAGCTTTTAGTGTAAGTATTCAAACAGTGAAACACAACACGCAAAGATGAATGTAGAGATGAAGGGTGTCATTTCTACTTGTAGTTCTCAATTATTCCACTACGTGGCGCGCGTGCTGGTAGCGGTAAAAAAGCGTGCTGGTAGCGGTATATGAATTTTACAGTTATACGCCAATGTTTTTGAAAAATCATATATAAGTTATATCAAGTTGTGTAATAAAAGTATTATTTACTCTTACTTGTTGCTGAAATGCTTGATTATATGTCTCTTTAATATATTATTAATGGGATTACAACACACTCCTCTCATCGGATGAACAGGACAACTGCGCCACCAAAACGAGGCTGTCTAAATAATGGTTGATTTCGCCGTTAACTTTTAGCGTACTTTCATGAAGGGAATCAGTGTAGTTTGATCTGACTGCTATCATAAATACCTACGGAACATGAGATATCCGCATGTAAGATTATATTTGTGTAGTGTTTATCTACCTGATTATTTTTACTATTAACATATCCAGTGTCTAATTTCATGAATTACAAACACGTAGTCGGTGGTCATTCATGATTCAATTACTTAGGTTCCTTGACTTGTCGATTACTAATACTTAATAATAGTAATACTATTACTCATAGTAAATACTACTACTAGTAGTAATAGTTACACTATTATTTAAAACCTACGGCTCATGTTTCTACATTAAAATATATGCCACTACTAATGCTGCAAGAATGTAACAAAGCAAGCATATGAATTATGATAATAATATACTTGTATTTTTTGTAAGTTGTAGTTGTAACTTGTAGTACTAGTAGTTGTACTGTACTGTAGGCTGTAGCACAAGTAGATACAATAATGTAACCCAACAAGAGTAGGGTTACAACGCGAGCTTATTTTTTTCTTTGGAGGAGCCCCTGAGTGATTCACTCGGGCGGTTTTATGGTGCGTTTTTCGAGACTACAAAGTCCTTCCAAACTGGGTTTATTCTAAACTCGAACCTTTCTCCGCTATCCTGGGACTTACTATGTATCACAATTTACTCTGTATTAAACTAATATAACCTGTTACAAAATTTCGAAGTGACGAGCGGCGATACTTAGAGTGCCATTTCTGTTGACCTGTGACGTACAGATTCCCAATGCGCATAGCGTTTGGCTAACTTCGTCATGACTGACAACAGGCATCCCATGATACATTCGATCGTGGAACCGAAGTTAGCCGAACGCTATGCGCATTGGGAATCTGTACGTCACAGGTCAACAGAAATGGCGCTCTAAGTATCGCCGCTCGTCACTTCGAAATTTTGTAACAGGTTATATTAGTTTAATACAGAGTATTGTGATACATAGTGAGTCCCAGGATAGCGGAGAAAGGTTCGAGTTTAGAATAAACCCAGTTTGGAAGGACTTTGTAGTCTCGAAAAACGCACCATAAAACCGCCCCGAGTGAATCACTCAGGGGCTCTTCCAAAGAAAAGAATAGGCTGGCGTTGTAGCCCTACTCTTGTTGGGTTACATTATTGTATCTATAGCACAAGCAGCAACATCACGATCAACGTAGCTCTCACCGTCTCACCAACCCCACTTCAGTACTTGACCTAAATAAATTTACTTAAGATAAAAACACATACATACATTTAATATAGGAAATGTATCATGGGTGCAAAGAGGAAAGCTACGTAAGTTGAGCGTTCTCCCTAATTAAGTAATTAATAAGTTGACACATGCTGCCTGTAAAAAAAAATGAAAACTGCAGTATGTTGATTTTACCACGTGTATTTCTTTGATTTTATAGTTGCATTTCTATTATATTCCATATATAAACCAAATAACTACCAACAAAGTTTAGGCCTCCTAAACTAATATGAATATACGAAGACCTTTCCACTATATTTTATTAGCTCATCTGACGTAGTCAGATGCAAGCTGTGAGAATCGCACATATTGCTCCTGGCCGCCGCTCTGTATGTGTCAACAGTGGGACAATCTTAACTGACTCGACGTACGTCGGACGCGTAACTCATATTTGGATGGTGGGGGAGATCGTTGAAAAGATCGGGCATGAGTCATTTGGAGGTCAAGGGTCAAAGGTCAAGATGTTAAACGGCAGGTGGGATATATTCCCCCTTAACTTTAAGTAAAGACAGGCTCGAAATAATATGCACGGAGGGATAGGCAATTTTTTGGGATGTGAAAATATTCCCTTGAATTTTCTCATAAATGGATGAGGCACGAGCAATTTTAAAAGCATCAAGCAACTCTCACAATTGAAAGGGCACAAGGGACTTTTGTAAAATAAGGAAAAACTCATAACTTAATACAATCAACCTCTGGCTAATGTAAGTACAGTAACAGGGTTCAACGTACGGTTACTTTTTATATTCACTAGACCATCGGGCTAGTAACGAGGAAAAACCACCATGCTTGAACTACTTTACTAGCCACAGATCAGGCCATTTGTTAATATGGAAACACTTATGTGGCGATCGTATGAATTCTACTTAAATTTCTCTAAATTACTGCACTTAGCCACAGCTCAACCCATAGCAATCACAACTGCCATTCTTCACGACGCGTCTTCCCGCGCCTTTGAAATTCGCGGCGCGGCGAGTCCTGGGCGTGCGCATTAAAATATTGTGTTCTACCACGTGCATACACAGGCACGCATTATTCGATGTTCTTACTGGCAGCGAGTTGCCAGCAAGCACTGTTTACGGCTATTGGGTTTTGCGAAGGGTAACTCGAATCCGCCTCACGCTTCGCTAGACAATGCACACTGCTCTGCGACAACAACAGTGCTGACGCCGCGAACCAGTTCTAGCAGACAGGCACCGACGCAATTAAAAGAATGTGCAAGCAGTCGTGACTGCGTAGCGTCCGGCCGTTGGATTTTTAGGCTGCAGTACCGCATTGATAGGAGGCACCGACGCAATTGCGTCGGTGCGTTCGCGTTAATTCGAGCCTGTTATAAAGGAAATAACGGAATTGCCGCACAAATTCTGAACGGCCGACCTATGCTTCTTAATATCGGGTATATTGTTGATGCGGCAGGAACCCATCACCAGTGCCGAGAATTGGATGGTACAGGTCATAAAGGGCATGGGTTGAAGTCAAGATATCTAGACATTTTCTTGAGGACATGCGCCTAAGCGACAGAGTGGAAAAACATTTTTGTGTTCAGCACTACCTACCATTTGTACTTTATGAAAGGACATGAAATGTGCTTTCCACTGAGTGATTAGAGTAAATGTCTTATAACCTTTTTGACTCTTTCAAGAGGGAGGGTTAACATGATTGTGGTGACTGCTTAACAAGGACTGGACTGTTTTGATGGTACTTGCTGTGATTGTGGAAGACTTACAGTGCACAGTGAAATTCTGCATGCAAAACTTACTTGCACACGTTTACGCGCCTTATAATCATTATTATCACTTCATTACTCTATATAGATTCTGTACGATTGGGGAATACAATGTCAATAGCACTTAGCAAACGTCTGTTTTAGCTCATCTGACATAGTCAGATGCCAGCTTGGTAGAATCGCATGATTCGTCCGTCCGGTCGTTACCGTCCGATCTGGTCACAGTGCGCCAGTTGGGCACAAATCTAACGCTCTGACTAACGGTCACGTATTATTGCCACATGTGGGGGTTCGTCATAACGAGTTGGAGATGTTCGAAGCTGGAGTCAAGGTCAAGCAGTGCTTAAAGAAGTGCGAAACATTCACTCCTTATAACGGTTATTAGGCGAGGCAATGCAGAATTGCCGTGCACAAATCTAAATGGCTCACCTAGGCTTCGTGATAGTTCGGGTATAGCATCATGGTAGGAAAGCCATCACTGTGCCCAGAATTGGAGCGTCAAAGAGTCAAGGTCAATGGCACACGCGCAAGATTTTGGACATTTTCTCTGAGGACTGTCTGGACGGAAACGATTAAACACTTTTTTGTTCTCAGCGGTGACTAGCATTTTTATGGCATTATTGAAAGGACATGAATTACTTCTTCTGACATTGCGAAGAGTAAGTGTCAGATAACCTATTTGACCTCAAAGAGGAGGGTTAACAATGGATTGTTGATGTCGTGTTAGAAAACATTGTGACTGCGGGTTTTGTAGTAATCTATACATTGCTGCGATGTATGATGGTACAACCTGTCCAGCTGAATTTCACAAAGCTAAATTTGCGTTAAAAAGCATGTATGTTCCTTAAATCGTATAATTTCTATGGATTCTTACTGTCATTATGTTGCATGAATACGTAGCCACTGCCAGTGGCTGCTGCCACGTGCAGCTGTTGGTGCAGTTTTTGCCTGCTATAATTTGGTTTACAGTGTGGCCCACTCTCTCTTGCAATGTATGGCTTGCGTAGGAAAGGTCATGAGAGTGCTTACCTATTCGTTGTTCTTGCAAATAAGTTGTTGCTAATACGTACAATGAGAGGCTTCCATCTTAATTCTGAGAACTTAAACGTCGCGTCATCTCGTGGAACTTTCAATAAACGATCCCAACGACATTCCTATTGAGAGAGGTTCTCGATTACCATCCCTGTGCATTCCACTGTTTCGCGTGTATGTGAACACATTGGGACTAACAGGCGATTTAACTAGAATCCAACACTCCACACAGAGTCACCGCAGTAGACGTTAGATGAGCGCTGTCGCTCCGCGGCACTTGTTGATTATGCCAACTATAAATAGGCCTACCTCGCAGGTGCCTGAGTGTGGGTGGCTGATAGCACAGCATGGGCTAAACATAGTTCGGGTTATCTATTCCCTGCACCTAGTCGTATGCACGCATCGTATCGGGAACAGAGTGGAGAAATGTCCTGGCAGAGATAGCTGAATGTAATAATTTATCGCTCAAAAGTGCAGAGAAGAATTACTTTCTTACTCACGACTGTGTAACAATCTTGAGGATAAGTAATTGCAGAAAGATCATGAAACCCTACTAATGAAATTTTGCCAGTTTTGTAACTGTCCTTGGCATGGCTCTCTTCCATCGACGTTACAGTAGATGTGCAATGTTGGGGATATGGTGCGCATGCTGCTTGTGACACTTGCAGAAGCCGTGAGGTTGAC